CCAGAGGGAGGCTGAGGTAGACTCTTCCTTTTCCAGTTAAAGGCAACATCTGGATCCAATTGCCAAGAGTTCTGGCTGACCCGGCCACATCTAGCAGAGAGGCAGAAAGCCTTACCCAAGACCCGTGCATTCGCTGTGAAGCTGCCCACTGCTTATAGCACACTGGAATCAGTTAAGAGGGCAAAATGTCCACGTGAGCAGGATGATCTCACCCCGTGCCTCTCGATGACCTCAAACATTTGCCATCTGCTCCAAGACATGCAAAGTACTACCTACATGCATATCGGATTTCCTGGATGGGGGCAGAGGTGGGGAGAAGGACACGTTTCTATCATCTTCACTTGGCAAATAAAAAACAAGCCAAGAGGAGCACCTGGGTAGCTCAGTTGGTTGAGCGTCCAACTTCAGCTCAGGTCGTGATCTCACCATTCGTGGGTTCGAGTCCTGCATCGGGCTCTGTGCTGATAGCTCTGAGCCTGGAGCCTGCTTTGGATTCTGTGTCTCCCTCTCTCTCTGCCCCTCCCCTGCTCATGTTCTCTCTCTCCCTCTCTCAAAAATAAATTAACATTAAAAAAAAAAAAAAAGCAAGATTTTACAGTCCATCTAATAGGCTGAAATACCAATTCTGCTTGCTTTGTGTCTAAGCAAGTTATATAACATCGGCCTCACTGTCCTCACTGGTAAAACAAAGGTAATAGCACCTGCTTCATGAAAGCTGTTGAAGACTAATAAGATGACAAACATAAAGTGACCACACGCAGTAGCCTTTCAGAGAATGTAGGCTAAAAGTATTAAATTATTATATCATATTCTCCCTATGCTTTCCCTTTTGCCTCTATGTAGAAAAATCTCCTCCATTAAAAAAAAAAAAACAAAAAAACTTGGCCCACCACTCACCCTCACAATGTACTACACATCCATTTCCTTAAATGCCAAGTTCCTTAAAAGAGGAGTCTGCACGTGTTGTCCTGCCCTCACTCCCGTTCACCCTCAGCACCTGCCCTTCCCCCACAATGAGCGATGAGGATCTTTCACCCACAGCCTTTGCCCCTTGACTGTGAGTGTGTCCCAAGCTACCCCACTGACGGGCTGGCCACCTGGCTGCCGTCAATCAGTAGAATGTGGACAAATATGATGGCTGCCCCTCGTGAGCAGAAATGTTAACTGTGCCTGCTCTGTTCACTTTGGCCTCCTGCGTCCTTGCCTCCTTCCATGAGAACAGTGTGAAACAGAAAGTCTGCTCTTTAGCCTGAGCCTTGGAATAAGAAGATGTCTAGAGCCGGGGAGAGCGCGCTAGAATCACAGCCAACTCACAGCCATCATTTAATGTCCGAAGGAGATAAGTGTTCGGTTTTATTCTGTTGAGAATTAGGTTGGTTGTTACTGCAGCAAAAGCTGCTGACTGATACCCAAAATCTGTTCGTCTGCCTACCAAATTATCCCCACTATGGTGGTCAATAAGGGATGATCTTCCAAGGAACCGTTCTTCATGGAACTGCCCCTCTAATCCCATTCGCCAGTACCCATCATACATCATTCCCCAGAATCCTGCCATGTTTGTTACTGTTGGCCCCCCAGCCAACAATTATTGGCTCATGTGTGGGCATCTGACCCAGTCTACAGTGGGAGAAAGGCACAAAGCCACCATACACACAGAAGCGGAATGAGAAGGAGCATCCAAGGAGACTTGAGCCATTGGCTAAGACTGTTCTGTTTCTACTGCTAAGTGTACATGCACAGAACAGAACTCCTGGCTACAAGGAGCAGGGCCAGGATGACCCCCACACATGGGCAGGAAGGAGGAAGGTCCTTTGTTCCCACAGGAGGGACTTACCATGAGCCGTTTGGGGTTGGTGGACAGTAGCTTGAAAAGTCAGGTCCAGACAGAACAGACTGGTATGGAAGTGGTTTAGAGCCAAGTCTTTCAAAGACTCAGAGAGCCATCCAAATATCTCCATATGGTGAAACTAAATCTACAGAAAGAATCTGAGGGCCCGAGGAAAACTAACGCCCCTCGGGGGTGGGAAGAGGGTCATCAGACACCTCTGGGACACCGGAGGAGCCATCAAAGCACCAAACTTCTGACAAGTCTACCCAGGACTGTGGATAAGAGTCTTTCCCACCCTCAACAGCAGCTTCTAGAGCCACCCTGGGCCCTCGCCTCCAACTTGTTTCCAACAGAGCAAATCTAGCCAGAATCGGAATTGCTGTGACCTCCCAGACACCACTCTGATAGTTCACAGGAAAAGGTTCCAGACCAAACACAGGAAAGTTCTGAGATTTAAGGGTAAAACGGTCCCCATACCCCATACCGCAACTGTTTTTCAATTGTGGTAATAACAAGCGATGTGCACCAATGGAGGTAAGTATTTTACAAACCTACCATCTTCCTCCTTTTATAAAGATGGAGAGGCTATAGCGGGCAGGGCACCCACCAATGCTCACCCTTAGCAGGGTATCCTGTTCAGAAACCTGTAGGTTGTTGGGTCAGAGACTAACTGGGGTGTTCTCCTGTTGGCTCAGCCCTTGCTGACTCACGTGGGGGTGCAAGGTACACTCCAAGACAATTACAACCCCCAGATCCTCCTCCTAAGGCTCCTGGAGACCTTGGATGTACTTGGTCTTACCACTTGGACTTCCATGTTTATCATGGAAGATGACTGCTGGGGGAGCCCTGACCAGCATCTGAAAAACCAGGGGAATACAGGCAATAATGAGTACAGCTGGGTCAGATTACAGGTTATAGAGAAGGGCAGTACAGTCATAATTGCCAACACCTCCTGGGTGATAGATCATGGGCGATGATCTAAACGTAACATAGAAGATTTATGATAATCCTTATAACATCCCCATGAGACAGATGCTATTGAAAGTCCCATCTTCCAGATGAGAAACCTGAAGCATGAGAGAGTTCAATTAACTTCCCTAAGATGTATTAAGGGAGACTATAAAGAGGTAGAGGAATATTCATCACAGCATTATTTTTAATAACGTAAGGCTTCCATAGTGATACTGTAGACAAACTTAAATGTCCAACACTAAGAAGCTGATTACATAAATTACAATACACCCACATTACATTAAAAATAACCCTGTAGGTGTGTGGTTTGGAAATGAAAGTCTGTTATCATGTATTATTCAGTGAAAAAAAATCAGGGCACAAAATAAATAAAGGCATAATCCCATACTTTGGCAATTATAAATATATATGTGCATTTTTTAAAGTTCTGGAAGAAAATGCATCCAAGCGTTACCAGTGGTCCGCAAATGGTAAGGTTGTGGATGCTTTGGATCAGCCTTCTATTTACGTAAATCCCAATTATGCAATCCCAATAAAAGTGGATTGCTTTTTCATGACAGAAAAGTTACATTAATTAAAAATTGTTTAATGCTTATTTATTTTTGAGAGAGAGAGAGAGACAGAGCCCGAGCCCAGAGAGAGGGGGAGACACAGAATCCAGGCTTCAAGCTGTCAGCACAGAGCCCGACCCAGGGCTCAAATTCACGAACCGGGGGATCGTGACTTGAGCCCAAGTCAGACACTTAAAGGACTGAGCCACCCAGGCACCCCTATTCTTTGAGTATAGTTAATACACATATTAGTTTCCGGTGTCCGACATAACGATTCAACCTTTCTATGTGTTACGCTGTGCTTATCACCAACACAGCTGCCATCTGTCTATAAATAATGGTCTACTACGTAGCCATAGAAAGGGATGAAATCTTGCCATTTGCAACAACATGCATGGACCTAGCGGGTATTATGCTGAGTAAAATAAATCAGACTGAAAAAGGCAAAGATACCATATGATTTCACTCATGTGCGGAGATTAAAGACAAAACAAACGTATAAACAAACCCAAGCAAAGTCAGACCGATATACGGAAAAACAAACTGGTGATTTCCAGAAGGGAGGGGGAGTGGGGGGATGGGCAAAATGGAGAAGGGGAGAGAGAGGTATAGGCCTCCAGTTATGGAACGACCACATTATGGGGGGGAAAAAAGGTATAGCATAAAGGGGTACCTGCGTGGCTCAGTCGGTTAAGCATCTGACTTTTGATTTTAGCTCAGGTCACGAACTCACGGTTTGTGAGCTCGAGACCCACATTGGGCTCTGACCACTGACAGTGCGGAGTCTGATTGGAATTCTCTCTCTCCCTCTCTCTCTGCCCCTCTCTTGCTTGCTCGGTCTCTCTCTCTCTCTCTCTCTCTCAAAATAGATAGATAAACTAAAAAAAAAAGAAAGAAAGAAAGAAAGAAAGAAAGAAAGAAAGAAAAAGAAAGGAGGAGCTGTTTCCTCCAGTTAAAAAAAGTGCAGCACAAGAAAATATGGTCCATGGTTGGGGCGCCTGGGTGGCTCAGTCAGTTAAGCATCCGACTTCAGCTCAGGTCATGATCTCGCGGTTTGTGAGTTCCAGCCCCACGTCGGGCTCTGTGCTGACAGCTCAGAGCCCGGAGCCTGCTTGGGATTCTGTGTCTCCCTCTCTCTCTGCCCCTCCCCCCTCGCACTCTGTCTCTCTCTATCAAAAATAAATAAATGTAAAAAAAATTTTGTTTTCAAGAAGATACGGTCGCTGGTACTGTAATAGCCTTGTTTTACTTTAAGCCAGCACTTTCCAATTTTCCTTCATCACAAAGCTCCTTTACGCAACACCTATTTATAGTTCAAGAAATGCTTACCCATTCTGGAAGCCGTGGCATTGCTCGCCACTCAACCCTTCTGCGGAACATACAGCCCTCATACAGCATAACCTATATTTGCATATCATGGAGCTTAGAAACATCACACAGTGTGGAGCCCGGCATTCACCTCCCCCCACCCCCCGCCCCAGCTCAAAGCCAATACCCTCCCTGCTTCACAGGACAGCTCCCCGGAAAATCAAACCATTCCAACCACGGCCTCATAGTCTATTCCAGACAGTGACGTCTGAAAGAATTAAATAGAGAGAATAAAAGACAGGGAGAGCAAGTTAGAAAACGTAAGAAGCTTGCTTACTTACTAGTTATTCTCATGTTTCAAAATGAACTTTGAGAAACCAGATTTTTTTTTTCTTGCTTCTTCGTTTCTTTTTAAGACGGCGGGTGCTCGAAATGCCATGAGGGCAGACAACACAGAATGATTGCAACGCTGTGTCAGGACTTATTTTCTGCTTCCTCATTTCTGAGGCTTTTAAGACGACACGACTGGGATCCGCTCGGCTTCCGCGGTTGGTCTCATTTGTGCCTTTGCGGCATCGTTTGAATCCTTTTCCTATACTTTGGGCAATGTGCCACATGGCGGGACCTATCTGTGCAAGACAGAAACTGGCCTCCCCCGCAATTAGGGCTCAAGGAAGTGAACCCGACCCACCTCCAGAGATTTCAATGACAAACACGAGACAAGCAAGGATGCAGCCCAGAATCCATTTTATTGGAAAGGGAGAGGGGGCCGGGAAGAGAAATATCAAGCTTTCAGAATCTGGAATGTCAGAGAACCTCACAGCGGTGTCGCCGGTCTCTGTTTTGGGTGCAAACCGGGGAACAGGGGCGAGGCGTGTCCGGCCATCATGGGACCGTCTCTGTGAGGAGTCCTGGGGAATATAATTTGGGGGGTTTTCCTGACCGCAGAGACTCCAAACCTGAGTCTCTGAGTTTTCAATAACTTCCGGGTCTACTTAAATGAGCTGGAATGGGTGAGCAATGCGGTGCTCCAGAACCAGACGTTTCCACACACCGCCAAGTCTCCCAAACACATAGCACGGCTGTCCCACCGTCTGGTCTAATGCCATCAGGCTGCCTCTTCTCACAGGGTGAACGAGGGATGCTAGAGAGGAGACAGGTTCATTTTCCCCTCATATTCCAGTGTTCACTGGATGGCCGTTCACTCTATCCCATCCAGTTAGCGTGCGTTTTATATTTGGCTGGGTGAATTGAACCTACTCCGGAAGATCCAGATTCCCTACGTGGCTCATTTAACGCCACAACTAAACCAGTAAGAGTGGCTTCCACCCCTTTCCCGTCCTGGATGCTGTCACATGTGATATCCTATTTTTCCCCCTACATAATTCTCTGCTTCTGGGCACACTCTTCCTCCTCTCCCCAAAATGTCAGTGTTGGCGTTTCTCAGGACTGGGTCTTTTCTCTTGTAAACTCAAGGGTCCTAAAGTTTTCAGTAGGACCCATATAAATTCACTTCTCCACCCTCAAGCTCTCTTGTGAGTTTCATACTTCATATATCACCAGAAGATTATCTAAGAGACATCTCAAACGTAACATATCCAGCGTGGAATGTTCAAATGGTGTTGTCATTCACCCAGTTGCTCACATCAGACACCTAAAGCCTTCTTTCATTCACCTTTTCCCCCTTTGACCTACATGACTCAAAGAAATAGCAAGCACTTGAAAGAAGCTGCTATAAAACACAAAAGAAATTTTTATAATGGATCTAATTTGTGCTCTCACTAAAATGCAAGAATGTATCAACTCCATTTTTTAAGTGAAAAATAAACAAGAAACGAACAGACTAAAATATGGACTGAGATTACAAGCTCACTAGGATAAATGAAGAAACCACTGAGAAAATGATGCAGGAAACTAAAAGCACAAAATCAGAATGGAGTTGTGGTTTGATGTTCATAAGAAGCAGGATCAAAACTACTGACAATGTGGGGAGTCTGGGTGGCTCAGTTGGTTAATCAAGAGCTGACTCTTGATTTTGGCTCGGGTCATGATCTCATGGTTTGTGGGATCGAGCTCCACGTCAGGCTTTGTGCTGACAGCCAGAGCCTGCTTGGGATTCTCTCCCCCCCCCCCCTCTGTCCCTCCCTCCCTTGTGCTCTCTCTCTCTCAAAATAAATAAATAAATAAACATTAAAAAAAAATTCTTCTAAACCTGATATGTAATGTCACGAAAATTATTCAACAGTAATAATACTCCAGATTTATAATTGCAAATCGGGGTATCAGAGATCAGGAAACGGTACGGCGAGCAGGGGTAAATGCAAGCAATTTTAATACTAAAAGGACATAACAACAACCTGTCATCATTGAATTGATCTCAAGTTTAAACACTACAGAAATAGAGATTTCTGAAACAGAAAGGTTGCACAGTGCGATCAAAATGGAAAGCGTTCCACGCACTTAGCAAGTGGCTGGACAATAAGGAAAGAAAACACGTAGACAGGCAAGCGGACAATAAAATTGACAAGGGGCTACATGTTTCCATTTCACTCACACAAATGGCCATGAGTTAAATATCCCTATTGAAAGGGGGCAATTCTCCCATTGGGTTAAAAGGAAACCCAACTATATCTTGCCTATGGCAACTCCTAAAATAAAATGGTACATAGAAGTTAAAAGTTAAGCCGTGGGCCAGAAAAACAAAATAATAAAGACAAAAAAAGCCCCTGATGGCGATATCGACACCAAAGTAAACAGAAGTAAAGGCATGAATGTTCATTTTAATTTTTTTTAATATTTTTATTTATTTTGGAGAGAGAGAGAGAGAGAGAGAGACAACACGCCTATGAGTGGGGCAGGGGCAGAGACAGAGGGGGACAGAGGATCCGAAGCAGGCTCTAGGCTGACAGCAGCGGGCCCTATGTGGAGCTGGAACCCACGAGCCGAGCCGTGAGATCATGACCTGAGTCCCAGTGGGATGCTTAACCAACAGAGTCACCCAGGCGCCCCCAAGTGGGTCATTTGACAGGGTACGGTCTATGAATTAAAATGAAACAAAACTGTGACGCTTTCTTAATACCCTCAAGGTTGACAAAAGAAGACTTCTGCTGGGGCGCCTGGGTGGTGAGCATCCAACCCTTGATTTTGGCTCAGGTCATGATCTCACGGTTCGTGAGTTCAAGCCCCACGTCAGGCTCTGCGCTGGCAATGCAGGGCCTGCTTGGGATTCTTCTCTCTCCTTCTCTCTCTGCTCCTAGATAAACAAACAAATAATTTTTTAAAAAGATAATCTCTGCAGTTGGTCTGGCTGGGGGCGAGGCGTCAGGGGCTGCACCACCTGCCCTCATGACTCCCGCCTCCCTGTCTTTCTGCACTGAATTGCATTCTGCAAGCCCAAGGAAACAACCTTTCAAAAAGAGGGGTACTGACAGTCCGCTGAAATGAGATCCCCAAGCGGGAAAGTCCAAATGTTCTAGCAGCAGTAGGTAATAGAGAGAACGCATTGTCACAGACTCGAGTTCTCTGAGAAGAAAGAAGACAGTGGGGATTTAAAAAAATAAATAAAAGGGGAGCCCGAGTGGCTCAGTCGGTTAAGCGTCTGACTTCGACTCAGGTCATGATCACGCAGTTCGTGGGTTCGAGCCCCACGTCGGGCTCTGTGCTGACAGCTCAGGGCCTGGAGGCTGCTTTGGATTCTGTGTCTCCCTCTCCCTCTGCCTCTTCCCTGTTCATGCTCCCTCTCTCTCTCTCTCTCTCTTTCACTCAAAAATGAATAAACGCTAAAAAAAAAAATTATAAACAAATAAATAAATAATGACTCCCTTTTCCCCTGCCAAGGGACCCAGCATGCACTGGAGCTAAGAATTATTCACATCCGCTTTTAAAGGGAATTCAAGCAGAATCTGCTCAGAACGGGACCGTGGGTATTAAATCCGACTCCTGACAAAAGGCGAAGACCAAAGTCAGAGGGCGCCCATTATTCCAACAGCAAAAAGAAAAAAAAAGTGGGCACTATTAAAACTACTTCAGGAGAGCCTGGGTGGCTCAGTCAGGTGAGCATCTGGTTCTGGATTTCGGCTTAGACCGTGATCTCACAGTTCGTGACTTCAAGTCCTATGTTGGGCACACTGGAGCCTGCTTGGGATGTGCCTGCTTGCCTATGTGTGGAGCCTGCTTGGGATCCTCTCTCTGCCCTTTCCCCACTCATTCTCTCTCTCTCTCTCTCTCCCAAAAATAAAATAAAATAAACATCAGATAAAATACACTGCAAATTTACATGAAAAATGTAAGTGAATATTTACCCCAAACAGAAAACAGAATCCTGTGAAGTCCCCTGAAAAGAAAAAGGGAGAGAAAGAAAAGCGTGTGTGTGTGTGTGTGTGTGTGTGTGTGTTGACTGATGATTGATTAATTGATTGAGCGATCCTAAAACAAAGTCCCAACCTCATTCTGCCAACTGAAGTACGTCATCCGAGCCTTCTGTATATTCTGGAGGGTGAACTAAACTAAAGAGACAGCCCTGGGAGCTGAAACGCAGCTCTTCGCTCATGGGCACAAGGCAGTGGGTCCGATGATTTGAACAGCATGGTGTAGACCCCTCCGATCTTCCCCTGGAGTGCCTGCTGGGAATAAGAAACAGGATTAGGAACGGAACGTGGGAGAGGCAACAAACAAAATAATAACAGAGAGGCAGCGCAGGGAGTAAGGATAATCATGTGCTATAAATAGGGGTAGGACTGATCATTCCAATTCTTCATGCCGGGTAGGAAAACACGCTTCCATCGGATGCCGGGATAATGTCTAGTTTAATGCTTACAACAGTCTGAGGTACACATTATCCTCATTTGACAAGGGAGTGAGACAGATGAACCTAAGCTAGGTACCTAGGGGTGCCCAACAAATAGGGATCAAAACCCAACCCCTGCTTAACTCCGCAGCCTGTGTCTCACCCACGACACATGAGACACAAAGAGTTTCTCTTTGTCCTTTCTCTGGGGGGACCAGATCATGCTTACGCTGTAGTAAAGGGCTCTCCCCACGGGCCACGCCGACTCCATTTCTCCTCTGCCTCTCGGTTAAATTCCCTGCATTCTGTAGGTGGATTGCACATCTGTAACTGGGAGCTGGAAGGAAGCTTCTCGCTGAAGACCTTTTTGGCACAGTCTGTGTAAACGTACAGAAAAAATATAGAGCCAAGGCCCACGTCTCTCAAAAAGAGTGTCTAGATGATTCAAGTGACTATATGACGACTTCTACGTGCTGCCTCGCTTTGGTGGGTAGAAACCACTGCAGAAATCCTCACGGTCAAAGTCTTTCTCGGAAATCCTTACTGTGTCTTCTTACAACCCACCACGGTTCTTCCAAAAAGAAGGCATTTGCGAAGTCTTTGGGTAAACCACAGTGAACAAGCCCCACTCCTCCTCATAAATCATGCTACTGTTTAGTGATGCACGGACGAGACAGGCCACATTTATCTCCCCAAAGCAAGCCTGGCAAAAGTATGTTCAGAAACTATTGGTCACGTTATCTTTCCAAAAGGTCAAGA